TCCAACCTAAAGGATTCTATGAACACTGAACCAGCAGTATTTTGGGATTTAAGTAACAGCTTAGAATCATGACCTCATCCTGAGAAAATGCAAACGCCTACATTTTGTAAGTTTACACTTGAAATCAAGTGCTGGATCACCTCTTTCTTTACTCCTTACTGCTGCAGGGATAATTATCTGCAAGTACAACACACATTAATTCTACTTCCATTTCATTCCTTTGGAGAGAGAGAACTTTACATACAGAAGAGGCCTTCATCAATGACATCAGTTAAGCATGGGTTTTATCCTTAGAAAAGCTAATTACAGCTGTAATTTTATTGTGTCAACAATATAGAGTTACAGTAAACAATACATATGTGACCAGGTATATTCCTGGTACACCTACATCTCCATCATTCTCTGCCACCTGCTCCAGGTAAGTCTCAGGACTACAGTGAGGACTCTTAGTACTGCTGGGTGGGAAGATGCTACAACCCTACAGTTTCCTGTGTGGAATAACGTTGTGTGTGAAGGTTCTTAGTACTTCAAAAAGTATGCCTCTAGTACTTCAAAAAGTATGCCAAACATGCTTTCTCTTCCAGGGCTGAAGTACAATACAGTGAAATCAAAGGTCTTACTCCTTCTGGCATTACATATCTCTATCGTCTTAAAAACAAACTTTGAGACAGTTACCTGAGGACTAGCTGCTCTGATCTAGAGGTTTGAAAGGATGCCTATAATCACTGTCCTTTCTACTTTAAAACTGTATTTTTAAAAAAATTATGAACTGCCCTGTTTCTGAGAACTCCACATTTCATAAAACTGACAACAGAGCACAGGCCATACAGTGTTCGAATATAGTGCTGATAAAAAGCAGTAACGGTTGCTAGTCATATGGGTTTCCAATCAGTCCATAAAACTTCAGTCAAGCTTGATTTACTGGGATAGGTTTTAGCTTAGAGACATTTTATTAATATATACAGAAAAGGCTGAAATGGCCTGCTGGCTCTGAGGGGGCCCTACTCCATTCCAATCAAAATTAGTGAAAGCTAAGAAGAACTGGATCATGACTGTTAACTGTAGAAATACCTACAGTTTTTACTACAGTGTTGGCTGGTTAGGAACTGTTATAAGCAATAATACCTCAGCTTTTAGAAATACTAAAACCTAAAGCTACCACCCACTGGTGAATTTCTCAGAATTTTCCTAAAATCAGGCAAAGGCATTCTTATTGAAGTAAGTGGCTGCTGCTCATTTCAGGGACTTCTTTTAATCAACGGTTCATACAGATGCTTGTGCATGTGCAGCAATTCTTTCACCTGCAGGTTTAAAACTTCAAAAATGTGTAAAGAATATCCATTAAAACAGACTCCTCTGTACTATACAACGCCTCTATTAACGTCACAGTGGAAGACATTTGAAAAACAAGGGAAAAGTTACAGACACTATCTCTCTGTTATACTAAAAATGTTCTAGTCTACACACACAGGCAGGTATTGGGTCATTAATTGGTTTCATTAACCCCACATATGACAGGTATTAAAGTCTCTCTGGTATTTTGAACGGTAATGGTCCTTCCAAACATTGCTTTCACTTCTGAGCTGTGTAGGATCAGATCAGAAGTATGCTTTACTTCGCACTTCTGAATTAAATCCCAAGTCTGAAAATTAAATAAATTCTACCTCACCAACTTCTGTGAAATTACACTAGAATCCCATGCATCTGTCACTGCTTTCTCCTGAGAGAGACCATTTGGCTTAATGCCTTGAATTTAGGGTTTACCTGGTTCTAGGCAACCTTTTAATTGTCTCAGGTTTCTTGGGAAATATTCAATTAACATATAACTTAAAGCCTTCAAAAAACGAGACTAGCAGACATGAGCAAAAAGAGATTAAATTAATTAAAGCTGTAATTTTTTTTATTAAACTGTAAGTGATATATTATCATGTTCTGTACGTTAAGAAATATTGAGTCCATAAAGGAACATGCAGGTAAGGAAGACAAAATATATTACAGTATTGTATGTAGTGACTACTGTAGCATTGATTCTGAGCTCACTTCATTGACTTATATTACCTCAGAAAAGTGAAACCAGAGCCTACAGGGCAAAGCAAGTGCACAAATATCAATGAGCAGAAAGCGGAGTCTGGATTTTTAACATGATGTGCAATTTCTAAACACAAAAACGTGTAAATCCCCAATAAAAAGAATACATTACTGAATTTTTTTTTTTTTTTTTTTATAGACAAGTTATTTAGCTCAGGAAAAGTATGCATCACTTAAACATTGCAGCAGTTTTTCGTGAGTGCCAGTTTTTTGACAGGTGTCCCAGCCAGGCTGGTTACCGACCTCGTATCATCTTGATTATCACTGCGTTTTCGCACTTCACTGAAAAATAAACAAACAAAAATGCACTCTATATTTCTACTCAAGGTCACTGCTCTGTTTCTCCCAGTTTATCTTACAGGACTCACCACCATCTATTTCATGGTTAGAACTATTGTATTTAGTGCACAGAATCAACATGTCTCAGAAGCTTCCAATTTGTGAATCATATTAATACTCCTATACAAATGACAGTTCTATAAGTATAATAATTTCTGATATGTAGTAACTCCACAAGGTTGTTGTTTCCCTGCCTTTTTGATAATTTTTATTTAATTTGTTTGCTTCAGCACATTATCACAGAAACACAAGTATGTTCACAGCTGAAAGTATAAAATTAAATAACTGCAATTCCAAGTATAAATTAACCCCTAGAGGAAAAACACATATTGCTGGATGTTTTAACATAAATGAAGACTTAGAAGTTGTGTATCAGTGTTTATTGGTTTGTCTTCTTACTATGGGCTCCCCAGAACATCAAAAGCCAGCTTTAAAATTTCTTGCTTTTTTATATATATAGTCATATAAAAACCAGGTTAAGTCCTTCTCATATTACAAGAGTAGATGCATGACATTGCTCTCAGAACACTGTATTATTCAGCATAATGGTACTGCAATGTTAATATAGAAATTTTTATTTCAAAATTAAATAATCTTCCACAGATAAAAAATATTGAGAGTGAAGAAATTGCAGCCAACCATTCCAGACCATGGTTCTGAGTAATGTCTAGACCATTTGAGGATCCGTGAACCTTGAGAAGGAAAATAGCAATTATGGGGGTTTTTCTTAGATTCTGAAAAGAGAGGCTCCAACTGCCAAAACCTTTTTTATTCTTGACGCAGTTAAACAGAGTTATCATCTTTAAGCATCAGAGATAATATACCAACTGTGATCAATGTCATATAATTGTGATACGTATGTTCTCTAATTTCATAATCCACTGCTGCATTCATGGCCAGGTTCTTGGGAATAATTTAACAAATCAAAAATTAACGTCACATGGACACCAACTAACAAATAAATGCCTATGTTCTTGCTGCATCTCTAATGAATGCATTTTCCTGGAAATACAGGTGCTCTTGAAAGCCTCAAGTGATGAAGCGATGATTCTCTCTAGAAGGCAAGTATTTTGTATTCTAGCAACATTAATCAGTAATATTCTAGCAATGAATAATCAGATACCAACCAAATGTGAGCAGCAGGCTGCTGCAAAAATCACACAAATACAGTTTATACATTTTGGCCTTGAGCTCCATGTATTAAAGAGAAAAATCAGAGGCTGAGGATTCGTTATTTATCAACAGCCCTTCAAAATTATATTGGAACCACGAATGGTTTGGAAAGGTAGTAGAAATGTAATGTTTGGCTCAGAAATCACAGAAATACCAGGTTGCTAAATGGGTATAATCTGAATTTCCATCTTTTAAGTAATTTAGAGAAAGACACAAAGAAGAAAATACGTGAGACTAGAATGGTCAGTAACAGAACTGAATATATATTTATATATGTGAAAGAATTGGGAATAATTTAAGAAAGAATTAAGAAAGTAAATCCAAGTACTATTAAAAAAATATAATTCATTCACCAAACAGGTTTTAAAATTGTGAGCTCCATAACTGAGCTCTACTTCAAATAATAATTATTGAGACAGCTTCGTAACATTTGCAAGTAAAAATGTTACTTGATTAAACTGAGAATAAATTGTGTCTTGCAGTTCTCTGCAAAGATTTAACCTCGTATTGTTAATTTTAAATTTTGGGGTTTGGTTTTCAAATGTACGTGTATCTGTGCGTATATTCACATATAATGCCCTTTTTATAAAATACACTCAGATATGTTTATTTGAGAACTGGAAACTTACCGAGCAAGGTGAAGAACTGCTTCTACAATATTAGATCCATCTTTAGCACTTGTTTCACAGAAGAGTGCATTATATGTCTGTGAGGAAAAATAAAATGTTAAGCTAACTAGTCTGACGTGGCTCCCATGTGAATATGTATATTCAGTTACAGCTTCCTCAATGACACAAGGAAAGATGACACATTTAAATGAACAGGATTTCTTCTGGTAGTCTTCATTCTCCAATATATTCACTTTAGTACTGTGAAAAAAACATAGTAATGGCTTTTTAATTATATCTTTTTTATATTCAATATATTCTGAATGAACAAACTGAAAAAGACATCATAGGCTTAATGTCCAAACTCAGTCTTCTTGTCCTCAAGGCTGCAAAACAGGAAGAAGTGCTAGGGCAGGTTACTGAATCCAGTTTCTTAGATACTGGAACACTACAGCATCTGTTATTGCAGGTTAACCAGAAATATTCCATATGTAGCGGCTGTGATTTCTGCCCCAGTATAATCAGTCAACTCAGCAACTCAAGACTCCAACTTTTTTTCCCTCAAAAATATGGGATATGTGCATCCCTTATCTCCCACATAAATACACACAAAAAACTTATCCATACTATAGCCGAGTTCCTTTTCATTTTCTGAAGAAGTGGCCAAAATATGAGATAAGTCTCCTAAAGATGAAATATTGCAGTCAAAAGTTGGACAGACACAAACCAAGTAAAAAGCCTCATACATTTACTAATGGGCTTCATATTTGCACTGGCAATTTCTCTTTGGCAGCAGAAAAACTCAGTCTCCTAGTCCATCCACTTTTCACCATAAAGACTGAGAAGACTATCCCAGCCAATAATGAAGTTCAGCTTCGTCTACAATGAAATGTGATTTAGCCCAGCAAACACCATCAAAATAGGATAGTTTACACGAAAAATATCCACAAATCTCAATTACTAGACTTGAACAAATGACCAGAAAATTACTTTTTACTAGTTTCTCACATGGTTTTCAGATTAAAGTTCTTAAGATCGTTTTCTACTAAAGAAGGAGACTTGGACCTTACCATAGCCAGCTTTTCTCCATAGTTTATAGGCACACATTTTTGCCCTTGTTCTGTAACAACCTGACGGAGATCTGCTTTGTTTCCCACCATCATAATTGGAATATTTTCATGAGTTGCATCCTGTAAGAAGGATTTTATTTCCTTATTACTAACACACTCAGAATACAAAAAAAAAGTAGCTAGCATCACCATTTCATAATTATTTCCTTCCCCACATAAAAAGTCTTGCGCACTATCACAAAAAAATGGCAAATTATGAAAGTTAGGCTGAGAACTTTTCATAAGCTGGTTGATATTTAAGCAGCCAGATTCACCATCAGCCTGCAAAGATGTGCTTCCATTCCCATAAACCCTGCTTCTCAACAAGGAAGTTCATGTGTTAAATTAATCTAACAGAAATGGTTACTGTATCCAAATGCTACTATGGGAAAATTACTATGGAAAAAGTGACCAACTCGTACACCATGATTAAAAGAAATGGCTTTCAGATCATTAAGATATTGCTTATCACGTTCTCTCCTACTAAACATCTTTGGTACAAGAGAAAAAACCCTTTCATTAAAAGCAAATTTGAAGTCAAATAAACAAACAAGAAGTAATAGTAGGACAAAGTACAGAAAATTTCACTTGAACTATAGCTAATTTACAGAATCTAACGTGTTGGTTTAAAAGGCGAAGACTCCAAGGAATACTCAGGCCATCCACAATACAGCATCTGAAATGGGCTCTCACGTTCATTTCAAAAGGATGTGAATGGACAGAGTGTGATTACATGATAGCCTTTTATACAAAAAGATGTAACAGATTTAACACTGACTGACTATGTCGGGATATATTTAGGACTTCCATGGAGCTTTTACTTCTATCAGAGACTGCAGTCTGGCTAATTTCAATATACAGATATTCAAATTTTATAAATAATAAAGTTAACAATGCAGTGAAAAGTAGTCAGTAAGTTGTATATATCTAAAGGCCTTACCTCAATCATATCCACCCACTCTCGCACATTGAGAAAGCTTTTCTCACACGTCACATCATAGAGCAGTAGGACACCATCTGCTCTCCTGAAGTACGACTTAGCAATGCTTCGGAATCTTTAAGGGAAAAAAGGTCTACGTAAGGTCACATTATCAAAAAAGATTTCAATTTAACATCACTAAGAACACACCATTACTTTATTGCATTACTGAGGAAAATTCTCTCCATGTGATGAGTTTTCTTACAGCTGCTTTTTTAAGTAGTTCTTGAAAACTGCGATCCAGGGCTACAAATACTCTGTAAGGATCCACAGGATTCTGTCCTAAACAGCAATCAACATTTTTTGTATCAAAACAATCTACAGTGTATCTATTACCAATAAACTGCCTGGCACTGGACTTTTGATTAGGTGGCAAGGCTTTTACTCTTCCATTTAACTTCATAAATGGCATGAGTTACTCTGCTACATTTGAAAAAATATGAAACTAGTAAGCCTGTTTCCAGGGCATCAGTTACAGTCATCTCTGCCACTAACATAACGCAATCTACATAATAGCCAAGTACAGCAACTATGTACTTACATTATATATTAAAATATTAAACACAAATTTATTATGTGGGAGGAGAATGACCAGACCTCTGACTACCTACTTCACATAATCACTCACTCAGGCAAAAGTAAACACACAACACAGATCTTGCTCAAGGAACAGATTAAACTGACTTCCAAGGAGTTAGATTAAGCTGCTAATAAGCCCCAAAAGCTGTCAGTATAATGGCTCTCAAGTAAGGATGTCATAGGATTTGGAGGAAATTCCACACAATAATTTGAAGAACCTTTGATATGCATGTAGCATTCTCTACAGTTCTGCCATAGATCTTTCTAGAAGTCTTTGAGAATAAGTTTTCATACACAATGAAAATCAGGATCAGGACTTTCAAGGAATGGAGAGGAGGATGAAGCCTGCTCAGAAATACAGGCCCGTAACAACAAAGAAAGCTAAAGACTAAAACCAGAAGAAACAACATGTACCTACTCCATCTTTTTGTATTGAAAGAGAAGGCTATATAGATTGAACTAATTAATGTTGAGGTAAGCCTCAATTAATTCTCTCTGCAGAGAGAAAAGATTACCTTGTGCATCGCCAGAGCTAATAAACATTCCACCCATCTTAAGAGTCTCAGCAAAGCAAAATTACATCTTTTTTTACACATTTACATATGGCCATACGGACTTGCTATAGAGCCACATAATATTTAGTGGAGTATTACTCATCTAGATGAGAAAAGGCAAACATCTTTTAGAAACATATCAATGGAAATTATGTAAGTGCAAAGAATCACTAACCTCTCCTGTCCAGCTGTGTCCCACAGTTGTAGCACTGTAGGTTCTCCATCAACAATTAGTCTTTTCATTTGAAAATCCACACCTAAAAAGAGTAATGTGTATAGCCTAACAAAAACATAACCTTAAAATGCCCACATAAAATGAAAAGTTATGTGCCACATACTACAGTTATTTTAAAATTCGTCTCTTATAATGGATTATGAGATTTCACTTGTTCACATACCCTTGAGCTGCAATAACCCCCTGAGCGTATTTTATTTGCCTTTAAAAAAACTTTTAATGAACTATTTTACCCATGCATTTTCCCAGAAGCATTGATACAAATGTGGCATTATGACCAGTAAATAAGAAGATCTCACTCTGCATTATTTTGCTAAACAGTTTTATGGAAGAAGAGAAAATGGTTTCTAAACTATTTCAAATGCCAAGAAGGCAAAAGTTAAATTGGAACAAAAAACCTGACTCGGAAGCAATAGAAGAAATACATAACTATGACTTGACTGGAAGGCAAAAATTCAATCTCTGGAATCAAAAGTTAAAGTTCATTAGCTGCCAGCTTTAATAATATACAGGACAGGTTAATCAGAAATCCCTCTAGCTGCATTTAACCCAAAGCCTAAGTAATACTCTGAAGAAATGGAGGCAGAAAGTGGTATCATCAAAGGATAGTATGAAATACTATTGAAAAAGATGAGAAGACAAGAAAGCAAGGAAAAATGCAAAAAGGCCTGCACACATCCTCTACATTTGCTACACTGAAACTCCCTGTTCTGGAGCTTTGTGTTGCTCAGAAACAGACTTTATGCTTTGCAAAGAGGAACTATATTAGAGCAGTACCCTATTACCCACTCCAAACAGCAGTTAGGCACTTCCTAAGCTTTAGTACTCCATCATATCTCACAGCCCAAGTCACTCTGTGTGTGTGTATTCAGGAAACGCCCACAAACAAACACAACAGGTAAACATTTCACCCACTTCTTCAAAACAGCAATAAAATGTACTTTACTATTTTAAAGAAAAACAACAACTATACCCAGGGTTGCACTGGTATTGCCTCGAAATTCATTCTTGCAAAGTCTCATGAGGAAACTGGATTTTCCCACTGCTGCATCTCCAGCAAGAACAATCTTGTAAGCCTTCTCTGAACTGGGGTATTTCGGAGTACATTCAGTTGCATCTGACTGAAGATAAAAAGAACTTCTCTATTTCAACTTATTAGAAAAATACTCTTTACATCAAACACTTGTTTTTTGAACTGGTTACCTGAGGGGTGAGAGCAGATATGTATTTCCTTGTTGAAGTTATTGAGCTGCTTCGACTTACAGGTCGTGATGGCTTCCAGTCTAACACTGTACTGCTGTTATCAGGACCATATGCCTCTTCATCCCTGATCTCTGGTACCTGGAAGTATAAGCTAGTGTGTTAGCTCTGGTGAGAAAAGTATGCTATTTTGCAAAGGTACAGCTAAGACTGATTGAAACATTTGTTTTAACAGTTTGTATTAGAGAGAGATAAATGACCAAAGGTGTGCAAGTCTAAGGGCTATACTGAGATTATACTGCTTTTACTCCCATTTGCTTTTTACTACAACCTACATTTAGTACTTTGTTTCCAGATACCGCAAATTCCTATGACAAATTTAATCTTAAAAAAATAATCACAACAAACTAATGCTTTATTTAAAAATCTTATTTTACAAAAATTAAGACTTTCCCTA